ATATCATTCATTTTCATTACGTGCCAAACATATTGCTCGTTTCTTTATTACCTTCGGAAAATCGTGATCTACGAACATCATGACAAGGTCGACCATCCATACTCGTCTCCTTTCTTTGAGACGGATATAACAGTGGCCCAGAGAATCCACTCCTCCCTTTCAACTTATTGTGATGCTGTAAGAAAATTCAGAGAAAATCTGATGAAATAGAAAAGCACGCAATGTTGAATCTAGACTAGCTACATCGAAGAAAATGTGGCTTACCATTGATAATTCTTGAGGTTCATATGCATCGGGTGGATCAAAAGAATCCTGTTGATGGAGCAGGATTTCTTCTTGTTTAAACGTCACGTGCTTGGTGTTCTCTGCAGGGCCTCTGGTGTCAGATTGGACCTTACTAGGAATATCGTCAAACTCTTGGACTACAGCATCTAAAGTATCTTGTGGATGCATTACTTTGGATAGGTCTAATGTACCCAAATTGTGACTTCTTGAAGTACGATAACCTAATCTTGTCATTCCGGCTTCCTGTTTTCGCCTTTTTGCCCATGCAAAGCCGCTAGATGCTGTTATTTGAACTGGGACTGTTTTAACACTATCTGCTTGAGATTCCTCTGTCATTTGAGAAGCCTCTGACACTGTATCATAAGATGCCTTGGCCGACATCTGAGACATAGTAGCTCGTCCTCCCCTGTAGACATGGGAACCTCCACCATGGTGTCTTCGACCAACTTGAATATTGGCCTCTATGACCTTTATGGAGACAAGCCAGATGAGCCAGTGAGAATGAGGCAATATGTTCTCCCTAGAGGGAGAGAGACAGAGGGAGGAGGGGAGAGAGAGAAAACCTCATGTGGAATTAATGTGCTAAAACTAGTTGGATCTTGATGAGTTTTACGCATTCTTGGATTTTTCATAGACATGGCACTGACCTTCCTCCTGAAATTACAATTCAGATAGAATCAATGCGCCAAAATAAGTTGGTTCTAACACATTGCTAGCAGTTCCAAATTTACAGTTAAACTTGATTAAATTGGCACCTTTCAAGAAACGAAATATGAAAGAAAGGAAGAACATCTTCACCTTCGCACTTCTTCACGGAATTTAGCATCAATCTCTTTGTTCGGTGGATACTTTGGCAAACATGACGGATCACATGCATAAGGCTTGGTAGTGAAATACTGGGAAAAAACGAAAAAAGTTCAGAGACAAACAGATGGATATAAACATCAGGCATAGGCGAGAAGCCCGACACACATTTTCTAACGGAATTGACAAATAATATAAATTGATGAAATCTAACAAGAAATTATGGGTCAATCAAATACTTCCATCATCTTTTACCTCAGATTCAAGAGCAGAAGAAGCAGTACCACGCCGGTAAGGTTCAATGGAAAGAAATGTATCTATGAGGTTCAATGCACTTTTTGGGAATTCTTTGCATCTTTCTCGAAGTGTACTTTCATAAGGATGCTGGGGTTTAAACATGGAGGCAAGAGGAAGTTTTGATTTTTTCCAATAATCATCAGGTGGAGAACCACAAAGTTTGAAGATTTTGTGCAATTGTTCAACCTACATAGACAAGGAGAATATGAATTTTAACTGTTTACTAACACAATTAAGATTTGGGAAGAAAGCAAGCAATGTTCATTAAATCCAAGACATCTATGCAAAATCTCGATACTTTCAATGAAAGAAAATCCAATTAATCTTGACATTTATGCATGTATAGATTTTGAAGAATGTTCTAACCTCAGTTCTGCCTTTGAGAAGAGGCCTTCCAATAAAAAGTTCAGCAAAAACACAACCTACACTCCATACGTCCACTGATTCCCCATAATTTGTCGATCCCAGCAGGAGTTCAGGAGGGCGATACCACAAAGTCACCACACGACTGGTCAATGGTTGCTTATTCTTTGCTCTCATAAAATTTGCGAGCCCAAAATCTGCAATTTTCAAGCATCCTTCATTGTTTAGTAAAATATTCGATGCTTTAACATCCCTGTGCATTATACCTCGGGAGTGACAATGCTCTATTCCACACAGTAGTTGCCGCATATAGCACTTGATCTACTTTCATAAGAAAAATGAATTCAGAAAACAGCATCACGAACCACAACAAAAATTGAAGATCGACAAAGCATGCTATTATAAAAAACCAACCAAAAGAAAAATAGATACGAACCTGTGAATCACTGAATTTGATATCAGGACATGATAATAGCCCAGCAAGGTCGTGTTCCATGTACTCGAAAACAAGATATATGTTACATGATAATCGGGAAGTGATGATGCCTTCCAACTTCATGATATTTGGATGGTCGAGTTTGCGCAGAATCATAATTTCTCTCGCCATAAATCTCACGCTTTCTGGTTGAAAATTGTCAAACCGTACCTTCTTCAGGGCAACAATCTTACCAGTTTTCACATCACGTGCGCGGTAAACATTGCTATAAGTGCCTTGTCCGATCTACACATGTAGAAGACAGAGAAAGAATCAGTTTGAAACTCAGTAAGGATAGAAGGCATTTGATGCATGTGTGGTTGGGAGGATTGCATAGCATTGAACAAATGAAGAAAAAGAAGCTAAAATTTTGTGGTACTAGTTGATCATACTTAAATCTATCACCATTATATCACCATAAAAGAAATACCTAAAATTTTTGTTTTCTGCGAATTCACCAAGTTAGTCATATGCCTTCAATGAAAAACCTCATTGCTGTATCCTCCCGGACACATTTATTATTTCAAATTTTGTTGCAAAAAGGTAACGCCCGAAAGGTCACTGAGAATCCTGATCAAATTCTCCTAAAAAACTTATGAAACATAATGCTGAAATCATTCATTTGTACAAATTGGCAGATTGCAACAAAAATATAGATCAACTGCAGAGCCTAAAATTCTGATTCTTTTCACTTATGCCAGCAAGAACTAGTGCTGAAAGTGAAACTTCGTGCAAAATGATGCATGTTAATTTAGATAAAACACAATACACTAACAACAAGAATCAAAATAATGAAAATGACCTTGTCTAATTTCTCGAATGCGTCTGATCTGAGAGGTAGCCATCCCTCAACGGCTTCTCCAGCCACAGCAGAGAGCCAAGCCGGCCAGGCAGCTGCCACATGCTCGCTTTCTGTCAACCTCCCAAATTTAATGCTGAAAACAGCCTTGTTCTGAGAGGCCTCTCGCATTAAAGGCCTCAAGTTCCCGGAATATTCCACATGACTGCGCCTTTTCTTCACAGGTTCCCCCTCCTTCTCTTCCTTAGATTTCTCCTTAATCTTCTCCAACGGCAGACCAAATGCACGCAATGAAGATAGGGAATTCAGACGGCGGTCTGAACCATTTCTTCGGCCAGCTGCAGTTGAGGCAGAGGAGGAGGCATCGGCATCGAATTCAGGTGATTCAATAGTGGCGTTCTTGGAGCTAACGCAACCCATGACCCCCAATACCCATCAAATGGATCCTACCGTAAGGATCCGGATATGACCCAGATGGGAAATGCGTCAAATACTGGAGGGGTGGAATCAATAAAGAGAAACCCCTACATTAACACCATTAAAGTTGTTTTGAAATAGAGAATTTACCAAGCAAAAATGAGAAAATTCCTCAAAAACAGAGCTTTTTTTGGGGGTGGCAAAAAAGAAAGAGAGAGAACGGGAGACATTTTGAGTGTTTTTTGCTGCGAGATATACGGAATCAGTCACAGGATTTCCAAGGGAAAACATTTCCATTTTCGTGGGGTCCGATGTTCAAATGTCACCATTGAAACTTCAGTTCCGTTGGTTCACTTATAGTTTTTCACGAAGAAAATTGGTGGGAGGCTACTTTTGGCGTTTGCATTACAAATTATTGGCCAACTGCCCCAACTGCCAGAAGCATAGTTGTCACCCTATCAAAATTCATAAATGGATATTCTTTTCTTAATCGAATTTTGGACATAAACCCATTTTTTATAATAAGATGGATAACAGGTTAACTAAGATTACAGGTAGGTAATATTATTGCAATCATTAAGTCCACAAAATAAGAGCAAATACAAGTATTTTGTGAAATACTATTGCCATTATACAAAAGAGAACAAAGTACAAATTTACTTCCCACATACAAAAGAGAATACACTGCTACATATATTTATACACCACGCAAAAACATCCCATCATTCATACTGCAAGAACTCGCATGGCGTTCAGTCTTATCATTCTTCATTATTTGCATACGTCCTTTTTCCAGTTCTCAAAATAGGGTTCAACGAGTTCCTCCAGCTTCAAGCGAAAGCAGTGAAGACTTCTCGGCCAAACTTTTACAAAAGAGTACATTTACACAAACACAAGTTCTCATGCAGCGATTTGCTCTTCTTTAAGCTGCAAAGTCATTGCTATTTGATCTTTATTCTCATAATCCATTTCTTTATGTAAGGAAGGATTGTTGGCTACTGTCTTCTGCAGTTTGCTGTATCTGCCTGTCGGGATTTCATGATCATGTTTGCCTTCGTACGTCGTTATAACAGCTTTGGAGTCGGTCGAAGACCTCTCAACGTGTTTACGGACATTGCATCCAGCATGTGTACATTTGTAATAACTCCTATAGAGAGAATTCAGATGCAACAGTGAATATCTTCACAAAGAAAGAGTAAAGGGAGAACTTGTAAGTATAAAATACAATGTTAGCTGAATTCAAAGGTGAAACACGGGGAGAATTAATGTCACAAGAAAACTAATATACATTGAAACATTAAGTCGAGTCAGCAGATAGTAAATTTTTTTAATTAGTCAAGGCAACACCATGGATCATTATGATGGTGACAACAAGACTTTCAAAAAGTAGTAAAGCTGCATATAAAAATAGAGAACTCAGATCAGGAGTAAACAGAAAGTCAGTCAGTCAGCTACTGTAAAAAAGTCAGCAATACTTAAGTTTTCTCTACAAATAGTAGATTTTTGCCTGAGGTGGTTAGCATGTGATCTCGTACATCATAACAATTAAGTAAGAAACTCTGAAACATCTTCATATCGACCCGTGGCTCCTCTTGGTTATACGGTAATAGTCAGTTTTGAGTTAGGATTTGTGTTTCTTTGTGACCAGATCAAAGTTGGGTCACAATGTTGCTCCGTATTTATAGGACTACAGTGACGTCACTTTTCCCTACATTTGTTTTCGCACCACACTGTTACCTTAAACTCAAGGCTGTGCTTTATTCAGCGTTTAATATTTAGTTATATATTTTCTACAGAAAGTACAAGCATTCACGTAATAGTATTCTTCCAAAAGTGATAGACCAACTTGCAATGTAAGGTATGCCTTGTATTTATCAAACCATATGGCAAGATTTATGGTCTTTCTTGTATTTAACAATTTATGAAACGATATGGCGAGAAAAATTTAAAAACCAATGCGCAACACAATGATAGTAAAGGCCAGGTAACCAAAGGAGTTGCACCTTGGATGAGGATTCCCCTTGACCACCTTCTGGCCGTACTTTCTCCATTTATATCCATCATCCAACAGATCAACTTCACTTCTTGTCTGCACGACAATTTTAGATTCTGTAATTGTTTTATGTGATGGTGCTTGCATGGACGACCCAATATCAATGCTCCTGCATCTCAAAGGGAGTTATACCACATAAGTAAAATGGGATTTTGTAGAAAAATTTAAAACATGTTCATTTAGAGGGGGGCAAAAAAAAAAACAAATGCATATGAATATGAATATGAATATTACCTTTTTTTTGTATTTGGTTCATCATCATCATCCCCCTCATTGTTTAAAATTGTCAAATCGTCCACTTCATCAAGATTAATTGTGGCAGGAAGATGCTCAGATACTGATTGTTTAGATACCTGAACTTTTGAAGGTCCAGGTTGATAAGGTACAACCTCATTTTCCCGGCTCATTTCACTCTGACTTTGCGATCTAATTGCAGGCTTCACCTGGGAGTTCGAGTTTCCATCCAAAGCACAATTATCTCTTCCACGTTTAGAGGGGTGAGGCATATCATGGTTGTGCTGCCCTTTGTACGTAATCTCGGTTATCTGTCCATCAAGAGAACCCTCCACCTTCTTCTTCACAGGACAATTAACATGCGTGCATTTGTAGTAGCTTCGCGGACATTCGCTCGCCTTTACCTGCTTCTGCCCGTATTTCCTCCAATTGTAGCCATCATTAGTTGGTTTGCTAACAACAACAGAAGCAGCTTTCCGTTCAGATGGAGAACCTTCAGACAGCTCTACCTTTGAGCTCGTTTGTTCTGGTGGCAAAGAAATTGTCTGGTTTTGCAAAGATTCATTGGCTGCGGAGGACGAATGATGTGCAGTTGTTTCAGCAGAAGTTGCAGAAGAAGAACGTTGAAAATCTGCTTGCATCTGCATGTAAGATTGAGATATTGCTGCCTGAGCCGTAACATGTGCAAGAGCCTGCTGGTGGGACATTCCAAATGGACTCTGCATAAAAGATAAGTGGCAAATCTAAGAGACAACCCATCTAGAAGTCGAATTTTTGAAATCTCTAGCCTTACTGAAATTGAAGCAAAATAGCACATTTAAGCTTGGCTTCATCTACATTTCGAACCCTAAATTCCATCCTACTGCTCAAGGATTTGAAACAGTATGTAGCCATAATTCTGAGTAATAATTCTTCAACATAGTTTAATCTCTTGAGTAAATTAACGAGCTCTCTGTTTTGGCAGCATATATTTCAGTCCTTATAAGTTAGCAAATTTTAGGTCACCATACTCCTTTAATATCTCCATTAATTTCAATCCATGGAACCAAATTTCCACAATTTTATTTCCAAAAACTGCACTATGTTATGTGGCAAAGAATTGGGGACTCATAATCAATTTTTTATAAATTTTAATTCCCAAAAATATTACTTCGCTATATAAATCAAATTTACCTGAAGTGGGGACAAAAACCCAGGTGAATTAAGCAATCCAGAAGGACTCAGCCCAGGAGGAACCATAAACAAGGGACTCAAACTCTGATGATCTAGCTGCATCTGCGATGGAGCCACCGCCAAATTCATTGGCCTGTTACGCTTATAGCCAGTACTACTATCATTATTTTTCCCACTAATATCACTAG